TACAGGACTTGTCTTCCTTTTCAGCCAATTCTTTTTCGAGTTGCTGAGGCTCCTTCTCGTAGTTATAAGGTAATAATGTGTTCTCTATCTCTAAGCGCCCGTGTTCACTTTGTTCTTCCGAGAAAGAATGTGTACGGTCCTCAAATCGAAATTCCTCCGGGATTACAGCTGTTTCCGTATCGTCGATGATATTATCTACGTTGCACATTTGTCCACTTTCATCGCTAACCACGTTTTCTTTTCTGCGTTCCGTTTTGGTCTCATAGGCTCCCATCGAGATTTCACCACGGCAGGGGGTAGATAGTGCGTCAGAGCTAGAGGTGCAACTATCTTCTTCTTTACAAATTACTTGCACGTTCGTCTCGTAAACGCTTTCTTCTTCCGTGTGAGAGGACACCCCAGACACCAAAAGTATCTCTTCTAATTCTTCAGGGATATCGTTGCAGGATGTATCGTTAGCGTCATTATATGACTTTATGTTGTTTGTAGTCATATAAGATGAGTCCTTCAAGTTAGGTCGCTTGCGTACGCTTTCTTTATTACCCTCCAATTGGTCAGTTGTAGAGGCCGTAACTTCCAACTTTTCATTGCCTGCTCCTAGTTCAGGTGAGTGAAAAGACGAGCTAGTAAGTTGGTCTCTGTCCTTAAATTGATCGCAAATATCGTCTTTGTGGCTAGAGCTTCCCTCGCCTTTTAAAGGCCTCTCATTGTTGTTTCCATTTTCGACAGCTAAAGAGCATTTAGCTGGACTCTCCGATGAAGATATCAGCTCTTCTTGGATTAGTTCCGTTAGCGCCTTTTTGTTACGGCTTTCATCACCGGCTTCTTTGATGACATCGGAGAACAGGTCTGTTTTCAATGAACGGCGAGTTTCTTCACGGCAACTTATTTCAGAGTCAGTATCTTTATCAGTTTTGTCATCTGAGCAAGGAGCAGTTCTTTCTGAAAGCGTCCCCTCAAATCCTTCGAGAATGTCGCTGGAATTCGTATGGTTGGCATCATCATTATTTGACCTGACTTCGTTTCCAGCGAATCTGTTTTCGAGCTGTTGAGGCACCTCCTCGTTACTATATTTTTTATTGCTATGCTCGCTGTTCACTAATTTGTCGACCGTAGAATCTGTGTCTTGCAATATTTGATTATCTTCTGCCTCTTCAGG